TTTATTTTTTACAATTATTCAAAGTAATTTTTCAATTAATCTTGAGCACGCCCATGGAGTGGTCAGAGGTACCAGTTAAAATTATGCTAATTACTCTCTCGTTCATAAAAATAAACTATAGAATGATGTCAATAGATTTAGGCCTCGTACACCCTTCCACAATATGACTTTATTATGTTTGAATAATATTCCATTAAAGCGATATAAGGTTGAATGCTCGCATAAATGAATTTTAATCAAATAAAAGACGGATATCGAGCACAGTTTTTATTAAATATTGCTCAAATACTTTCGTTACTAGAGAATTTTCAGGGGCATTTCGCCAAAATTAGGCTATCCAACAATATATGGAGAATATCATAAACATTAAATGATACATTAACACAACACGACACAAGGACAAACAGTTCAAAATTATTAGAATCGAAGAAGCTATATTTGGGTGGCATCTCTCCTTATGCCACCCAATAAAGTACTTTGGCAACATTATTTAATAAAAACAGTGCTCGATTTGCCTATTTGATTAAAACATTCCATTATTCCGTATAAATGAATAATATAAATGGAAGAATATTCCTTCCGTTTATCCATGATATATATATATTATATATATATATATATATATAATATATATATATATATATATACATATATGCATTTTAAAATGTTTTAGGCATTTATCCAACGTAGTATATTGTCCACTCACTTAAAAATACACACAGGACGCACAGAACAATGCCACCTCTGCCCTAAGAAGTTCTGTAGACCTTCTGAGTTGAGAAATCACATGCGAAAGCATACAGGTATTCGATTTAATTTAATGTTATCGATTTTTTATAAAGAGTTTTTTTAGAAGTATAGAAATTAAAAAAAGGTAATTTGACACTTTTTTAACTGGCGGCTATTTTTTCAGCTGTCAAGTGATTTATATTTAGTTGGTTTGGCATTTCAGCATAAATAGACTGAAGCCTGAACAACGCTTCCAGATTGTGGAAATTTATCAGAGCAAATAATTAGATTAACTTTGGAACGTTTCTGCGCCGCAGTTATTCTAATAATAATACGCATCCACAGAGACGTCGTACAGTGTGTACAGAAGTTGTTTGTGATGTAGAGCGTAGCATAGAGGAAGATCCGAATCAATCTATCCGTCATCGTGCACAGCAGTTGGATATGTATCCAACTACTTTGTGGAAAATTTTGCAGAAAGATCTTGATTTACGTTTTTACAAAATCCATCTCGTGCAACAATTGAAGCTACACGATTACCTAGTAAGGCGTAGATTCTGTGAACGGGTCCAAAACGATTATGCCGGTGATCCTGATTTTCATAAATGAAATTTTGTTAAGCGATGAAACTCACTTTTCGTTGAATGGCTATGTCAACAAAAAAAAACTGCCGTATTTGGAGTGAAAATCATCCTCAAGAGTATGTTGAGACATTACATCCACAAAAACTTACTGTTTGGTGTACTTTGTGGGCTGGTGGAATCATTGGTTCTTACTTTTTTAAAAACGGTGCTGGTCAGAAAGTTACAATCAATGGTGACCGCTATAGGTCCATGATTATGGACTTTTTTATTCCTAATTTGAACAACCATGATGTGCCGGAACTGTGGTTTCAACAATATGGCGCAACATGTCACACAGCTCGTTACACAATTGATGTATTGAAAAAAAAAAACGTTTGGTAACCGCATAGTTTCACGTTTTCATCATCATCATCATCATCATCATCATCATCATCATCATCAGTGGCATACAGCTCGTTGTGAGCCAAAGCCTTCTTCAGAACAATCTTCCATTCGCCCCTGTCTCTGGCAACTCTTCTACATGCTTTAACTCCGATGAATTTTAGATCATCCTCTATGTTATCTTGATATTTGGTCTTCCTCTGGATCGTCTTCCCACTGGTCCTCTTCGGTCGAAAATTTTTCTGATCGTTGCATCTTCATCTCGCCTAATTACATGTCATATCCATCGAATGCGTGCTAATTTAATTCTACATGCGTACATTTTACAACGTCAGGTTCCCCAAAACTTCTGTATAATTCAAAGTTTGGTAACCGCATAGTTTCACGTTTTAGCAAGCTTTAAACGTTTGATCACGTGAAGAATAACATTACCCACGTTATTGCCGATCTACGGCCACAAATGTTGGAAAAAGTCATCGAACATTAGATCTCTAGATTAGACTACATCAGAGCCAGCCATGGCGGTCACATACCAAAAATCATATTTAAATTATAATGCTAAAAGATTATCTTTTGAATTGACATGAAGTCAATTTCATGTCAATTTAAAAAATCGTCTTTATTTTATTCCAATTCAAAGTTCTATACATCTAAAAAAAAAAAACACCCATTACATATAAGGACTAAGTGAAAAGATATCTGTATTGTACTTAGATGGCACTGCGACAATGTATGATTTTCACCAAAAAAATATATTTGAATGGTTCTTCGTACTATACTTGTTCATTTTTGGTTAATTATCGCACACAAAATTTATCAAAATTTGTTGAATGTGTCTAAGTGGTTATATACTTCAGTACCCCTTCGTTATTATAACAATAAAACAATAAAACAATCGGCAGTGGTGTTCGTAGATATCTAGAAAATATAGATCAATATCATTGTTAACAAATGACAATTAAAAGTCTATAAATTATAATTAAAGCTGAAGATATCTGAGAAGCAGGACTAGTGCAGATTTTACACCTAAAACTCAAGAACTCACGAAGTTTTGTGTAAGATGAGCGATACATTTGGCAAACATTAATTCAAAGAACTAACTGTATTTTATTTTGATTTGTTAGGACAATATCATCTAATCTGAATGAAATGTTAAAGAAACTGCGTTAAATGATTTTTTTAACATAAACAAGTAAAAATACTTATTACTGTTGGGCTAAAACCTTTCACGTTTTCTTTATTTCAAATAAGAAAGTCAATTAACAGTTCTATATATTGTTTGGCATCCTAGCGGGAAGCTGAAGCACATCTATAGGTGTGTTAGGCAAGCAACCGATTAATTAAATTAAACATAACGAATATTTTTATTTTAGGGGAAAAACCATATGCGTGTACCTACTGTGTTCAAACCTTCATACAGAAAAGTCATTTAACCGAACATTTAAAAACACATACCGACGACAGACCATTTAAATGCCATATTTGTGATAAAGCATTTAAACAATCAGGGACATTGAAGGGCCATATTAATATCCACGAAGGTAAAGAAAATTTATCGCTTTTTGGATTTTTTAGGTTAGGTTAGGGTATCATTGACATTATATTTTACCTCATTCATTATTTTTCAGCAGATTATATAACGGAAATATTTTTGCCCAATAACTCTGAATCAAATAAGGTATAATTCTCGTATCATCGAGAAGATTTTACGGGGATTCAGTTTGGCAGTGGGTTGTAGGTTTGTGTTACAGAGGTTTGTCCTTTTATCAGGACGACCACATCGAGCGTCATAGCCGGAGATGGTTTTTGATAACTGGTCTTCATAAGACAGCCAATTCTCACTTGTGGCTCCACGTGTTACGTTCCAGATAACTGCATTGGTGTGTAGGCTAAACCAAGTGAGAGGAGCCAGTTATGGTGAAATCACCGAGCGACCATTCACCTTGAGAAGGTGGAAGAGTGAGTGAACTAGGAGGACTCTGTTGACCTTGAGTGGAGAAATCGACTCTAAAGGCAGAATAACCCTTAAGTTCGACGGCATTAGGATGCAGAAAGCAAAAAGTAACTACTGTATTAAATTTTGCCTTTATGGATATCTTAAGAAAAATGACAAGTAAAATCAACAATGACCTCGAGTACCGGCGCTTCTTAATTGAAGCAGACGTGCGAAGAATATCCGGACTTGGCATAAATAAAAATTTGATAAAAATTAGAACATGGAATATTTGAAGCTTACTAAGAGCAGGAAAGTTTCATAATGTAATTCAAGAAATGAACAGGAGTAATATTCAAATATTAGGATTGAGCGAAGTAAGATAGCCCGGTACAGGAAAACTAGAAATTGATGGTCATGTTATCTACTTCTCTAGAGGAGAAAATAACTGTCCACAACAACATGGGGTTGCTAGAAAACTTCATTCCTTACTCCGAAATGATGGCACTATTACAACTTAAATGTAAAAACATTATTCTCAAAAGTACATGCACCCACAGAAGACAAAGACGAGAATAAGGTAGAAGAATTTTATGCAGGAATAACGGACATCCCAAAAGCCTCAAGAAACACCACATCAACATTATTCTACTGTCTGTCTCACGTTTTATATTCAGTACAGACTTTTACGGACTATATGCCTCTTTTATTATTTTTTTACATTTTTCAATGATTCTATCCTTTTTACTTAAATTTATTCGACCAGTGGCTCATACTAGTTAATAAACTTACCAGGCAAACGACACTTATTGATGTGGCGTTAGCTAACAACAATAATTTGAATGTTAAATACAACGAAAAGATCGCCAAGTATAGAGATCTAGAAATACAAATCAGGAGACAATGCAGAATGGAAAGTATCCAGACAGTACCTATTGTTCTATCTACTACTGGTGTTATTCCCAAAAACCTCCTAGCGAACATTAAACAGCTGGGACTAAATGAACATCTTTATAAGGCCATGCAGAAAGCGCTACTATTCGCGACGTCCAGATGTGTACGAAAATTTTTGGGACATACTCCAACATACCAAGTCACCTAGGGCTCGATAACACGGAAAGAGTCCCACCAGAGCTCAATCCTTTTGATACCGTAGGTATCTGGGATGAGTGAATTTTCCCCTTAGAGGGAGTGTGAGTCGTATGGCTAAATCGGGATAAATAATAAAAAATATTTTTAATGTCTTTTGAGGTTCACTAAAATTAAATATTTTTTCAATATAGGTTTCAATAAAGGTTTGTCTATTAAATTTTTCACTTCTATCGAAACTCACACTAGTGCAACATTATTTTTTAAATTCTTTTTTTTTCTAGGTAAAAATATATACAAGTGTGACATGTGTCCATACACGTGCAGAAAAAACTATACATTAACATTGCACATGCGACAACACCAAGCCAACAGTTCAGACACAGTTAAATGCGATGGCTGTGTAGAGGTTTTTCCTAATGAAGATGCTCTAACTGAACATCGAGATGGTTGTACCATGGTCTGTGATGGTAATGAAGCTACACAGTATGATGAATATTTAAATGTTTAAAGTACTTCAAAGAAAAATATATTAATTATTATATTTATGAAGATAAGTAACGGAAACTAGTATGTAAGCTCAGTGAGTATGAGCAGATAAAAAATTGCAACGAGAACAATAAAAGTCGCCATGATAAGAAAAAATAAAACGGATGAACAACAGAATAAAAGAGCAAAATGAACGAAAAGAAATCAAAACGATGGAACAGTTATTTTTTTTTTCTCTTTTTTTTTTCTCTTATACGATGGAAAGAAATGAATAATGAGATAAAGGATGGGTCATAAAAGTGAATGAAGATAGCGAGATAAGTCAGAGTTAACGATTTAGGAACGTGGAATATGTGGCAAAGAAGAGGTAAAGAAGAGAAAAATTGATAAATTTATGCCCACGAAGAGATTAAAAATGTTAGGTTATGAAAAAGGTGGGGGAGAAAAAAATAGATGATCAGACAAGAAGTAATATGGTATGAAAATGTAACAGATGGATAAGTAGATGTTTCTTAATGAAGATTTCTGTGATAATATTTACATAAATTGAATAAAGTGTCTGAAAAAATGACTATTTAATGTTTACTTGATATACAATTATATGTTCCTACAGTTATAAGAAAAATTTAAATTTTAAAACTTTACTGACATAAAATTAAAATCTTCTAATTGTACTAAATGAAATAAAGTATATACATTTACAGAATTTTGCATTTTTGTGTAAAACCTTACCCAATAAGTCATTTCATATAAATCAGTTGAAAATTTCATAGATGATCTCCTCTCTGTTTTTATAACCTTTCTAATTCATTTAATGTGGTGAATCACTCTGCATTCTTATTTTCTTGATAGATTGTTGTGTAATTCACTTTAATTACCATTTTTTTTTCATTCGTTTCTATCTTTACATATTTCTCGTCAATTGTCCACATTAATTATTTTGATAGGTTTAATAACCTGGTTCTCGCATCTCTCTTGAGCTTTTCCCTCAATCTTTCTCTTTCTGACTTTTATCTGGCAACTTTCTTTATCAAGGAGTCGAGTTCTCTTCGTTCTATGTGCCCTATCCATCTGTCTCCGTGCTTTGATGAATCTGACTATATCTATTCTCTTCATTTATTTCAGTTCATTCTTTTTCACAGTTCTTCATTTTCCTTTCTTAATTAAACTTATCAAACATCCAAGCTGTATTTATACCACTGAAATCTGGTCACAATTGAACAATCGATTCTTACTTAAATTACACAATGATACTTAAATTCTAAGAGCTTAATCTTAGGCGTCCTCTTTACTATTAACTCTGCACTATGGCTAACACACAACACAGCGCTTTTAAACTAATTGCCTTCTACTTCTTCATATAGTGCACCTATAGTATTCAGTTCTTTATGTTCCATATCCACGACATTTGTTTGCACCTACTCCTCTCTTGCCTTCAATCTTTCCCTGGATAATTAGCTGAGGGATTGCGTATTTTTTTTCCTCTCAGAATATGGCCGAGGTATCCAATTTTTCGTACCTTTTTCGTACCTCAAATTGAGTAGTTCTCTCTCAGTCAATGGTATGTGGAACATTCTTCGCAACGTCCCCATTTTGAAAGCCTTTAACTTATTAGTGGAAGGTACTCTTAACGTCCATGTTTCCATGCTGTATAACAATATGGACCATACATAGCATTTAACCATATTGTAGCGGAGATTAAAGGAAATATGGCGGTTACATAGTAGCGGTTTATATTTGATAAAAGCTTGTCTTGCTTGTTCCTGTTTATTTCTTATCCTGTCTTGTTTATTTCTTGCTGAGGATCCCATTGGTCATTCATCATCATTCCCAAGTATTTAAATGTTTTCACTTGATCGATGGGAGCATTATCTACCTACCATACCTTTTGTTTTTCCAGCATTTATCTTCTACATAGAAGCCATACATTTTTCCTACGGTGTTACAAAGTAAAAAAATAAAAGATAAACTTCGCAAACTGACAAAAATTTGACAATGAAAAACGTAGGTTAAACTTCTGTTGACAGTTCAAAGCCAACTAGTGTAAAAAATAATAATTTAACTGTCACGACAAAAGGAAAGAAAAATTTTGTAATCGATTTTTCAAGAAAACAGTGTATATTACATAGTACAGACTCAAAGTAAGAGTAGTTTTTAGTACTATATTACCTGAACATTTAATAATCTAGTATCACGAATGCTTAAAACTTAAGACAAAAAAGTTATACATTAAAATAACCGTAGACCTACCTTAAATGGACGACTATAACCGGTACTAGAAATTGGCAATTAATGGAATCGATTCGACTCTGGAAGATAAATAATCAAACCAGTTTTCGTTCTTATAAAAAGAAGCGTTCTGGAGGTATTTAAAAAAAACTAATTACAAGGCGCCACCTTAAAATTATCTCAGGAATCTCCGGTCTTCGTTTGTCAGGAGAGTTTCTGACCCCCAAACTCCCTCCTTGGGTGCGCCACTAAAATAAGTGCATTTTGGTTTTGCTGTTGAAGGGCAAAGAGGAGGTGACTTTAACAAAAATAACTATCTGAAGAAGAAAAGTGTTGGGAGTACATAAGAAAGCTCAGAGGAAAAGCGGATTCATTCAAGTAGAGCAAAGGCGTTTTATGAGTACATGGAAATGGATGTTTCTCATTCTTTAGTCTTTGCTTTGATCTTCAACAAATTCTGCCACAACCAAAAAGTCCAATTCAAGAGGCTTATTCCGAAGACAGCTTTCGTTTCATACCATTTGTATTACTGATCTAAAAACTCAAAACCACATGTTCTACAGTTGCACAGAGAAGCAGGCAGAAAACAAAGGCAGTGTGGAAATATAATCGGCTCTCTTCAACTATTTGAAAGAAGCTGATTTTTGGGGCTGTTCTGTACTAAGGCTGTTTAGGGATGGTCGTGTTTCTTAAAATAAAAATAATATTGTCCTAATAACACTGATTCATTTTTTGAAAACACACAAAACATCAATCCAAAGGATTTTATTGAATTTCGCTGTACGCGGACATAGTTTTTTTCTCGTGAATACTATAAGGACATCCAATCAATTAGTGAACTGAAGATAATTGAAATATGCTACCGGCCACAAGAAGAAATTGAACACCTCCGAAAAAGGGAGGTATTATTACGAAAATATTGCGTTGGTAAGAGGCTTGAAAACCTACAAGTATGAATGAAAATAGTCTTTTATATCTTTGAGAAAAGAAAGGAACAAAGAATCTTAGACAAGTAAGACTGGAAGATCTCCCACTTCCTTATGTATGAACCAAAGATAAGAGAAATATATATTCAAAAACTTTTGAAAATAATGTTTTTCTGACCCACGCCTTGGTTGGTACAAGAATTTGATTTTTGATGTTCCCACTACAGCAGCTGCTGGTGAGGAGCAGGAAGTAATGAGTGACTGTCTTGATGATGAGCATTGTAACTTCCATATTTAAAAAACTGTTCGTTTGTTGCATTAACTACCTATTATGACAATGTTTGTCACTTAGGTAAGGCCTATATTATTATTTTACAAAAAACCATTCAGAAAACTATTGTTCCTTTACTTTATTGTTTTTTTTACTTTATTTAGGTACATGCAAATTATCTTATGTCCACAACATTTTACATGCAAAATGACTTATTTCCACTGAGTTTGTACAAAAGGTATTATTTCCAAAGCAAAATTAATTTTTTAAACTATTTTTTAGCTACCCTAACTGAAATAAATGTCATCTCTGAAATAATCTCATCTTTGGAAACAATACTATTGCATAAGAACTCATTTTTCTTTTTCAGAGCAAAGCTACAAGTTTTTCGCCCTCCCTGAAAAACTACTTATTTGTGATTTAAGCTTGTTTGCATGCTACCTCCTAAACTATAAACTATATAATAAGTATAACGAGATGTGAAAATAAAGTTATTGTTTTTACTGCTTTCCTTACAATTTCATCACAATTTCTTACCTTTCAAATCTTTCTTGGACTTCTTCAAATATTTAAATATCAATACATATTAGTCAAATCGATGCAGTTCTCGAGTTGTTATAAAAAAGTTATAAATAAATAAAATGACGTTTGTGAAACGTCATTATATTTTATAATAAGTGTATGTATCCACATTATTTATAGTACAGTATACCGCAAGATTTACCCTATTTTGGGCCCTTGAAAAAACATTATACCGAGCGATAAGAAGTGGGTATTACTTTAAAAATCAGCAGTCTTAAACGAATTTCAAATCAGGTATTATCAAATATGACCAAATAACTTTTGTAATTTTAAAATAAACGAGCATATTAACTGGCATAGGATGTTCAAATCAAAACCTCCTTGTAAGACAGATGCTCTTGAAAGTTATCATTAGATATCTTCGACCGTTTTATAAAATTTTACTGATATTCAGAACATCATATGAAGATTATAAACAGCTTAAATTATGACACTTAATTATTTTTAATAAGTTAAAAAAAGTAAATGTGCTCATTTTTCACTATGACCCGGACATCTGCACAATTCTCATCACATACTCTAACGAAATAATGTTCCCACAATTTATCTGTCAATCTGCGGACGTGTCTACATTTCGCACTTTTACCTTAGCGCTCTGCCTGCCTCGAAGTCGTTCGATTTTTGCGTGGGAGTGTACTCAACATTTTTACATTGTGCTCGAAGTAATTGTAGTATTGTGAACGAGCCATTCACTCAAATTAATTTGTGATTTTCCGACTTCATTTAATTAAATATTAATACGAATTAACTGAAAGATATATTTTTAATTGGTGTTTCCTTTTTGCGATCTTTTAATAGATATAGCTGTTCGTATTAAGAAATATTTTCCTTGTTTTTTATAAAATACTTGTTCGGCGCTTCTGTACAATTATGTAACTATTATTAAATTTTAACTTAAATTTTTTAACATCCTAGAGTCCATAACTTAGGTATATATACTCAACAGACTCCCTTCAGTTTATTTCAATTCATTAAAATATATTTTAGTATGTAGGGGAGGCTGGGGCACAATGAAACACAAAACTTGGTTTTACCTATGGCTGCCAAAACTAAGACTTTTTTAACTGTTTATTTTTTCCTGGTATGTTAAGATCTAATCTATGTAAAAAATCTGTAAACCATTATTTTTTGCATTATTTGTGACCTTCAGCTGCCATTTTCCAAAAAATTAATCTTGTTTCATTGATCGCTATGTCCGAGGTACAATGAAACAGAGCCAGGAGTACCAGGAGTGAAGCAAAAACAACACCTTTAAGGAAAAAACTTTATTTATCTATTTAATTTAAAGTAGTAAGAAAAGCCATCTCGAGTAAAAAAATTCAACAGGTCCTATTGAGGTACAAATACGAAATCATTCGACATTTAGAGCATGTTAAAATTTATTAAAAATCCTTTGTAAAAGGTATATATTTAAGAACCCAAATGGGCTAAGTTAAACAGACAAAACGTTTTCGGAAT